ACCACACAGAGGGGGGTGGTGTTGGTTCTCTGACACGTACAGACAAGGGGGGATTAAGGTCTGACACGGTTGTTAGTCTATTATATATATATACGTATATATATATATATATATATATATATATATATATATATATATATATATATATATACATATATATATATATATATATATATATATATATATATATATATATACTGTATATATATATATATATATATATATATATATATATATATATATATATGTGTGTGTGTGCTTTTATCCAAAGCAACTTTAATTGAATTCAGTTACGTTATTTAGGAGCTGGTATAGGGGTTAGGGCATCTGTCTCTAGGATGGCTACAGGTAGACTGTGGACATTGGGGATCAAAGCCAGTACCTTTTTGCTGGGTGTCAAACACTATCCTCACCCAGTATTGCAATATGACACAAACACGATTCAACACATAAATAGGCTGCTTTTGATTCATCTTTTTGGACATTCATATTTTTAATACAGTACTTTTGACCTTCTAAACTAAAGCAAAGAATGTTTTAACCATCACACTCCCAGACGACTATCCAGAACGAGATGACTGACCCCAACTTCCTCTTGGTAACATGTCCCTGAAAGAATCCTACAACTAAATACAAAATATGACTAAATACAAAACAGAAATAACTAAAATATACCCATCTTTCAACGATGTCACAACGTGATGCAACCGGCCAGTCCCGCGATGGGGCCTCCAATCCAAAACCTGTGAGACTCCTTGTATCCCTCACACACATCACGTAACACTAAAGGTGTGCTCCCCAACCTCTGATACAGTCTGTGTCACCGCACTATTCATCTTCATCCCGGACATCCACCCCACCCCGCCCCCCCCCACCCAGTTCGTCATCTCATCTAAACCAGCGCCCCCACCCACAAACCTGTGGGTTCCCCCCTTGCATTTGCAGTCTGGGAGCTCTAGTAAACCACTGGTGTATGACGCCCCCGGGAATATCTAGGGCAATGCCTTCTCCCCTTTTCTTCTTCTCCTCCTCCATGGCACGCTCCAAGCATGCAACCACCCACCCCCACCCCCCACCCCAACCTCAACCTCCCCCCATCCATCCGTCACGGAAAAGATCACCGGCAACCGTTTTTTTTGCTCTGAAGTGATGCTGTTGGAGCGGAAGAGAGGCCGGTGGCTTCATTCATATCGGCATTCTCCACACACACACACACACACACACAGGGAAGAGAGGGATTCCAGTGTGGAAAACATACAAAAAAGTGAAGGTTTATTTTTTTCACACCGTTCGGTGAAGAATCGCATCTAACTTGGTGCGGTGTGTCTTCTATGGGAGCAGGTGTGCAAAGGGGCCCCTGCCAAGTCAATCAATTTCCAATTAGGGGCCCCTCACCACGTCTCTCTCCCGTCATCTGTGATTCTTTACCGACGCTCAATGGCTTTCTAATCTTGCCGTACAGGAGTGCTAGCTTAACCCCCATCCGTCGACGTCTACGATGAAACGTTGACGCGCGCGAGAGGAAGTAATTAAAAAGAGGTGCCGATGTGTTTGAGGGATTTGAAGGTTAACATTTTTCTCTCTGAAAATAAATTATAATATTGTTCTCTTAAATTCAGTCAATTTCACTGATGCTCAGTACCGAAAGAAAGAAACCGAAAGAGATTTACAGTGTTCTTCCATGGGCATACATGCATAATGCATCAGTCAATCTCACTCCAACACAGAAAACCAAGCCACTCTTTAATCCATTTTAGTATCAGTCTATCAAGCCCATTCATACACACTGGCAGAGAGAGAGACATTTCTACAGCTGGGGGAGAGTATTCCTCATCACTTCCTCCGTCTTGCTGGAGAAGTGAAGTGTTTCTGGTCTACTCGACGGCAGACGTTTGTGTCAATGTAAAGGTCCTTTTATCACATGAGCTACCGAGACTGACAGTGAAGTGAAAGCAGATGAATTGTTTGTTATAGGAGTGTAAAAAAGCAAACACTTACACACAATTCAGTTGTTCAGTTGGTCCTAGCAGCTTTCCTTTAGACCATTGCAATACTGTATTGATGAATACTATACATAGAACTAGGTCCAAACCTAGTATGTGGCTAGACCGTGAATCCGTCCTTAGTGCTCGATAAATTCAGAATGAACGGCAGTTAATAAACAGAGCACTTGTAAATGCTCAAGGTACGTGTCCACAGGATCCGTCATTTCTACACCTCCCATTCATTGTGTATGTGAGCAGCCATGTGAGCAATGCATTCTGGTAGCATGGTTTTGAGTTTTGAGAGATGAGGCATCACATTGGCGTGCTCCTCATGTGCATGAAGTTGAGTTCTCGTCTACTTTATGCAAATCCGGGGCCTCTGGAAACTCCCGGAAAACCTTTAAACTAACTGTTGTCGATCTAAAGTGGAGACAAATTCAGCAACTACATGGCTTATATCTCACCTAAAATGTTTTCAGAAACACATTGCAGTGTACTACTTAGCTGTTAAATGAGCTTGTTTGTGAGGCGGCCACCATGTTGGTCCGGTGTTAAAATCCGAAAGCAGACAGCCAACGACTGAATGCGTTCGTCCAATCAGGTGCAGCCAGGAAGTAGGGAAATGGGGAGCAACCATGTCATCACTCACTCTGACCAATTGTGCAACTCTCTCACTCAGTCACTCAGTCACTCAGTGACAGAGCGTTGGGGATATAGGGCCAGCCTGCTGGTCCAGCCAAAAATGTTAATTAGCAAACTTTTCTTGACATAGTAATGCGAACGCTTTGCTCATTCTCCTCAACCGGTTATTTGGTGGATTCCCGAGACCCAAAAGTACCTCCCTTCACAGGTGGATCATCACAGCATGAAAAAGTGCTTCAGACCCAACACCTGCCCCCCGACCTGTCAGACACCTAAGTTATGACATGAGCATGCCCGTCGTAAGGCATATCCATTGTTTTGAAATGAAGGAACATCCATTTGAAAAGAGGCTCCACCACTGCCCCGATGATTTGTGAGTGCTATTACCCCTCGAAAATCGCTCCGGGAAAACAGACGCGTAGTACGAGGACTCAGTCTTGCAGGCGGGGTGTGTGTGTGTGTGTGTGTGTGTGTGTATGTGTGGTTGGGTTTGCAGGTTGTATGGAAATGGATCCTGGGGTTGTGTATACATGGTGTGGTGAGAGAGAGAGAGAGAGCGTTTTAAGATTCCAGGGGTGACAAACCAGAATGTTCCCTCGTCTCCATAAAAGGTATTTGTGTTTACGATCCTCAGCAGTATCTGAGCCGGCCTGCCAGAAGCCATTTCTCTTAAAATGCAGTAGTGGTGACAGGCCAGAGAGTTTAAAAAAAGAAAAGAGAGAGGAAGAGGAGGAGAGCAGGCCATAGACGAGAACAGAGGGAGATGGAGGGATAGGAAGAGAGAGAGAGAGTTAGGAGAGTGACAGATGCGATACCAAACGGGAGAGAGGGAAATGACCGATACCCTAGTTCACCGAAAATCAGCATGCAGGTGTCTTTTATCATGCAAGCACCTTCATTATCCCCTGCTCACCAGTGGAGGCAGAGGCAGAGAGGGAGAGAGACCATCCAGCTGACAGCAGAACTTTTCATTTCCAGGCCTGACTAATTCATTAAGAATTGTTCCGGAGGGCCGGAACCAGCCGTTGTCAGAACCCGAGTCAGGGAGGAGCGGGGATGGGGAAGGAATAGATTCTGCTGACTTCTTTGAGAGAAGCCATTTTCAAAGTTGACCACAATGGAAAGGGGGAAAAAATATGTTTATCATGCATATTGTCTGAATATCCATCCGTAGCAGCCACCCGCCATACATACCGGGAAGTGACATTTGTTCGAATCCCTTCAAACCCGCGAAAATTGGGAAGAAAAAATTCTTATCAACATGCATTCTGCACACAAGCCGCTTCGTCCGTCCATTTTCTCTGTCTTGCCAAGCGAATCTCTTTTAGATTTTTTTGTTGGCGAGGGCATAAACAACAGCGCAGTTTATGGCGAGTGCCGACCTCGGCATGCTTTTGCTGCGGTCGCCGCTCTTCACCAAACACAATGCACCGTTGAATGCGAAGAAAAAAACTGAAGTTATCAGCAGAATGCAGCAGTGAAAGGCGGCCGCCTCTTTGCGGCGGCACCTGCATGGAGGGATTCCAATTCTCGGGCAAGAAGACGCGTGACGGGCGTAGGACCCCTCTGCCGGGCCCAGATAAAAGTGAAAGTAGAATAATCAATTGGAAAGGAGGTGAGGGAACGCGTGTTAATCCAGGAGCAGGGCCTCCAGGTCGCGGGTGGGGGTGGAAAAATAGTCAACGATGCAGAGTTGTCTGATACCGATCACATTTCCCCCCCTTTTGTTATGAATCTTCATTTTATTTTGAAGACGACACTCAAGTAAGTCAAGTATTTCCTGTGATTATGATGAGTGTGAAAAAAAGCGGATATGGTGGAAATGTGACTTCCGGTTTGCAGTAGAGTTAACCATCCCGGAACAACACGTAGGTTTAAGTCACATGTAGAGCACAGCCAGCTGCTAAATTATACTGAATGTAATGTAATATTATTTAGTTTATAACTCATTGCATAGGCCTATAACTTGGCCCTTCATCCCTTGAGAGAGTGACAGTAAATGGCTTAAGCTAGGCTCACTGATTTCTGTGGAGGATGACAGAGGCTCGGTCAGCTCTAAATATATACAGTTTAGCAACACAACAACTCTCTCTCGCAACGAATACGAGTTGTGCTCAAAAAGATGTCGTTGATGTTGAAGTGCAGTGTGTGCCCCACTGGTGAATATTAAAAGCCAAGTGCTTGAGGACTCCAAGGAAAGTAAATCAAGTCTGGAGGCTTTTATGAGAGAAATGAATGCACATTTCAAACACTGTCCCTGTGCACTGGTGTGTTGAGCCCAGCTCTTTAAGGTATGACAACAATCATGTTAAGAAGGCACAACTTGTTTTCCTATGGATGTTGTATTAAAAGGTTGGGTTTTAATAACAAAGTGGCCCTGTCTAGCTCAACTGGTAGAGCAAGACATTAACACTGCCCGCGTTAGGGTTTGATTCCCAGTGGGGCCATCCCATGCTAAGAATGTAGGCCTACACACTCATGGTATTGTTGAGTGTGTAAACACTTTGGATGTGCCGTCCATTGAATACCGTGCAATTGACATTGAATAAACTGTAGAAATCGAGCAGAATTAACTTCCACAATGTTATCAACTCCACTCATACAAGCCCAGAGACTACTACTTTCTCTAGCTTGTAACTTTTCTCTAAGGAGGCGTCTGGTTTTACTGCCTGTTGTTCTGTTCACCCCACAGACCCATCGACCCGACCAGGGCCAAAGATAAAATACAGAGGTTTGCAGGAAAGAAAAACCTGACAAAGAACTAAATCAGTAATCCTCAAGCCTGGCAAGAGATCAAAGATGCTGTAGAAGTTGTGTTTGATCCTATTCTGAGGGAGGGGTCGCGTCACCTTGTGTGCGTGCGGACGAAGTTGTGGTCAATCCATACGCAACGTTTAGTCCTTCCTTCACCTCCCGCCCTTTATAGCTCACTAACCACCGCAAGATCTCCTAAGCCCGCCCCCCCCCCCAACCCCCCCACCCCACTGGAATTTAAGACTAAATCTTTTCATCTCACTGTGAATACCACAGCTTGGCAAAGAGAGAGCTGACCCCCGCCATGCCTTCGCCCACCCCCGACCCTCAGGGGTTAACAGTTACACAAGGTCGTTTTTCAATGTCTCGGCTCTTTCAAAAGCCTCGGTCTCAGCGGACGGGGATGTGGTAAATGGATATAAAAAGGTATCGATTTTGATGAGCCATGCTGGGTCCACAGACGTTTGGGAAATTGATTTAATAAAAAAGAATAGGTGGAGGATTTTCTTTTCCAACAGGTTGCACTCAATCGGGACTGTGAAGCTAGTGTGAATGTCAGCATGGGACAAGTGATATGCAAAGCCTCGCACTATTGGAGGAGGGGCAGTGATAGGGTGTTTGACTCCCAAACAAAAAGGTACTGGGTTCAATATAATTAATGAGCAAGTAGGGGGTTAGTGCATCTTGCTCAAGGATGCCTACAGGTACCGTGCGGATATTGTGGTCCAAACACAGAACATTTCACCTTAACTGCTGGCTCATTGCTCACTGTATATTAATAATACTTATAATAGTTTTAACATCCTTTTTTTTACAGGTTCAGGCCCCATTTTGTGACAATGAAACAGAGAGACTGTCAGGAGCAGAATAGATAAAGAGACATTAAAGTAGAGAGAGACCGACAGGCCAACATACAGATGGACGGAGAGTCTGATTGGCAGTTTCCAGTGAAAAGATTATTAAATAGGTGAACTACGTACAAATCTTTTCAAACAAGCCTCCCCATACTTACCCAACAGGCTACAATAACTGGCATCTAACTGAGAGTGACAGGAGAGTTGCTCTTGCATGAAGGAGTTTGATCGCATTTATTCCTCTAATTTGCTCACAGACTGAGAGATAGAAAATAATTGCAGTACAATCGCAGTTGACGAGAACCAAACTGTGACAGTTTGGGTTTAGTATTTTATTTCTTCGCTTTAAGCCGAGCCAGGTGATTACGACACAGTTGCGTGCAATAGACATTGGTTCAAAGGTCAGGTGGGTGAACTGAGGGGCAACATAAAATAGATTATAAATAATCATCTTTTTTACTCTGTAAAAGCGACTCTATTGTCATTTACATTTAATGCATTCATTCCAGAGTATGAATAAAATGCCAAATGCCATTTACCTCAACTGATCATGTTTACTGTATAGCGTGGCTACATTTTTCGCATCCATTTCTTCATGCTCATTTTGCGTTTTTTTCATCATTCCTTCATTTTTCTTTACTGTCTTAAATGTATCTGCTGTGACACTGGAATGTTCTCGTCTGGGATTAATAAAGTACAGACATCTCGTCTTATCTTCTTCATTCATTCATCCATTCATCATCCAAGTACGTGCGTCTATTCAGTCAGCATCTACCAGTTATTTATTCATTCATTCATTCATTCTTTGCCATTATTCAATTGACTTACATGGCATGGCAGGAGCCAGGGTGACAGCATTACAAGCCCAGCCACGGTGCAGAAACACGGGGCTGCATATTGAATTAAATGTAGTGTAACATGCAAGCCATTACCACAACGCCATTTCCTCTGATTGTATCTGGCTCAATGCCACGACGAGCTATATTCAGAGCATGGCCTTAATTAATTTTACGACAGGAATGGAACCAAATAACTGTGCTTCCCCCCCCCCCCCCCCCCCCCCCATGTAAAATATAGCAGGAATGCTTTAACCCGAGTCGTTAGGATGGCATTAGCGCTTGCCCCACCTCTCTCTACTCAGCTGGAGCAGTCCTCTCTCTCTCTGTCTCTGTCTCTCTCTCTCTCGTTTTCCGTTTCCATCTTAACTCTGTGTAGTCCTGTGATAATGCAGGCAACAATTGACAAAGTCTAATGGTTAGGCTGTTCCGACAACCAGCTACCGAAAGGTTCTGGGTTCGAACCTCAATGTCTAAAGATGCCTTAACCCCTACCTGCTCATTAATGTCTCGGAAATTACAATAGTAATGGTTTTTCAAACACATTTCAGTGTCTGTGTGTGTGGGTGTGTGTGTTTGATCCAATTCATCATAAGTTCCATAAATGACATGACATGCTAGCTTTAAAGATTATGAGTGTAACTATTCCATCATTATCTTTTGCTAATATGAGCGCCATTTCATACATTTATTATTCATAAAAAAAGAAATTATTAGTATTTTCATCACGTCATAACCGGAGCCCGCTGGGCCATTTTTACTGCCTGGGCGTTAAAATAATCTAAATCAATATAATATTTGGAGCAGTGACATTAGAGGCAAACACCTGCGTGACATCTACAAATATTGGCTGTTTAAAAAGCAAATGAAGCCACATCATCCATTGATTCAGAAATTTACAGCTTCATACTGATTAGAATGACGAAATAGCAGCGTCTTGACTCCAGGTGTGGAGTCAAGACGCTGTAAGAAGTAATACAATAAAAAAAATGTATAGTCAAAAATACAACATTCTGAAATGTATAAGCCTATATACAGGGACACATCCACTCGCTGCCTTTCTGTCTCTCTGTCTCTCGCTCTCAGGGGGGGGGGCTGTATTTTTTACGATACATTCTTTTAGCGTATTACTATCGTATTTGACTATTTTGGGCTTTGGCCCCGTGAACGTACATGTCCCATGCCAACAAAGCCCAGAGACAGACTTGAGTTGAGGCTGAGAGATGACCGCACCATGTTAGGTTGCCTCTCTAGACGTAAGAGGAGGTAAAGACAGTCGCACTTCCATCGCAATTAGGCAGCGTTGAGCACAACCCAGAGGGGTTGTGGTTGGAGGAGGAGGGGAGGGGCGACGAGTACTAGAAAACGTACATGCAACGCTCCCTTGTGAGGCTGTTTAAAATTGTAAGTTGTCTTTTGGAAGCACTTCAGTCAGCTGTTTTTTTGTTATAAGGCTTTAAAAAGGCTTTTAAAAAAAACATGGGCTCATGAATGTAACTGTAGGGGGGAGGATAGCATACTGGTAATGGTCTTCAACTCCCAGCCGATCATTCTCATTGGGATTCAAATCGATAAATAGGAGCGGACAGGAGGGCGGGTGTAAGCAACCATTGTCAATGTGGCAATCATTTTGTTTCTCTTTTGTGACTGGTAGAAACCTTGGTAATGAAGTAATATTTTAGTAGTCCATCTTGGGAACTTTTTTTACCATGGCAGACCCACGTCCATAACATCTTGGTGTAAGTGCAGTTGGATTCTCTTAGCACCGCGGTTGTCTGTTCCTATGTCCTTAAGTCCTTCCTAAATTCTCCTTCACATCTTTCCTTGACCTCATGACGTTTTCCATTGAGGTCAAGGAAAAGTGTTTAGGAAAAGACAACGTTTTTTTTTAACTATTCGACCGGAGCGCTTGTCTTCTTCAGTCTGAAAGTTAGCCATTTTGATCCTAGCATAGCAATTAATAGGTCACAAGTGTAGCCAATCAGGTGATTCTATCATCCATTTAGTCTTCTTCTATTAAATATAAAAGCAGTCTATAATGCCATCAGGCTGCCACCCACATTCCTGCCACCAACAGGTTTGTAAGTCAACACTATTAGGGCAAATAGAATAAGGCATACAAAATACAATAAGCAAAATAACACCCTGGCAACCAGTGGTGTGGTGTGTAGAAATGATAAAACTAAAGCCTGAAACTGATACGTCAAGAGCAGGACTTAACAGCATGCGCAGAAGGTGAGAAGGTGGTCACACCAATGTCTGCCAAAGGGCAAAACAATATCCCCCTCTTATACCTCTTGCAGTAGCACATGTGGCCATCCATTTAGTCATGCCAGTCCAGCTGTACACCCAAAACAAACAAAAAAAACATTACTATGACCATATTTTATATATTTGTGTTCTGTCCGGTCAATGTAGAAAAAGGTAAAAATGAGGATTGTTTGAATGTTCCTCATCTCATACCTATTGTAATAACAATCAACTCAATAGAAATAATATCATGACTAACATAATACAAATAAATTACAATGAATTTAGTGGCAGAACCTTCAGTACCTTCCTGCTGGAAAGGGATATCCACGGTGTTGTCAGTCAGTCAGTCTATAGTGGTTCAGGGTTGAGTTAGCTACTTCAGAGAGAGCAGGACTCTACCTCCTATCCTATACCTCCTGACATCTGCTGTCATCAGCCAGCTTTCGACAGAGCTCTCCATTCCCGTAAACCCGTAAAAGCCCCCGACCACAGGCAGCCACTCAATTTACAGGAGATTTTATGGTTTCTTATGAAGTGCTTGAGCACCGTCAACGGCCAGCGGCCAACTGCCTACCACCCACCCCCACCTCTTCCTTCATGCATTTAGCTTTTTTTGGGCAGGGAGGGGTGTGTGTGTGTGTGTGTGTGTGTGGGGGGGGGGGGGGGGGTCATTCATAACCGACAGGTGCTTAATCACGGCGGACAGTCGCTTTGGACAGGTTGCGGCGTTATTAAATAAAACTTCCCCCC